AAGTTGTGCCGTCATTATTGTTGTGTTGCAGTTATCGTAGTCGGTGGTATTAATTGAATTTTAAAGCATACTAATTTAAGGTGATTGTATTTTGGTAATTAGTTGCTTTGTTTGCTTTATCAAAATATTTTTATTGCCTTTAGTACGACTTGCTGCAAGATTATTATTTTTGGAGATAATTGGCCACGAATAGGACTGTGATTATTTTGACATCATGAGTACTTTAACAAAGGAAGATCTGGATACTATGCTTGTTGATATGATGAGAAATTTTAATGCGAGTCTTGAACGAATGAATGAGAAAATTGAGAAGAGTACACAAGAAATTGCTCAAACCAATCAAAGGGTTGAAACTTTGTCTACTCAAGTGATTGGGGAAGGAAGAATAATCAACAACGAACAACCTAGGGGAATCATGAGAAATTTTCCAATTGACAATGATCGAGATTTGAAGTTGTTGGAACTTCCGGAATTTACAGGTGATGGGGATGCCGAAGACTTTTTAGATTGGGTTCGTCAGATGGAAAAGGTCTTTGATTATAAAGGTTTTGATGAGCAAAAAGCCTACAAGGTTGCAAACCTAAAACTGACGAGATATGCTTCTCTATGGTTTGAGAATTTACGTGCCAAGAGATTGAGAGAAGATGAGCCACGAATTAATACTTGGAACGAGTTAAAGAGACAATTAAGGAAACGGTTCCTACCACGGGAATTTATCCAAGATCAATTCTTGAAGTTGAATCATCTTGAACAAAAGAATCTTAGTGTCGCTGAATACACTAAAGAGTTTGAGAAATTGTGCATGCTTTGTGATTTGCAGGAAAAAGAGGAGATGAAGATTGGACGATACATAAAAGGGTTAACACCTTCGATTTCTCACAAGGTGGAAACATCAAATTATGTGTTCTTTGATGATGTCTTAAGGTTGGCAGAGAGATTTGAGAAACAGGAGAAAGAAAAGAAAATTTCTTATTTCAAGGAGAGGAAGTCATTCTTTAATGGTGAGGGTTCGAATATCAACTCTAACAATTCAAACAATGAAGGGAAGATGATTGTTGTTACTCCCGAACAAGCTGCATTGGCGAAAAAAGTTTGTTTCAAGTGTCAAGGCATGGGACACATTGCTAGAGATTGTGGTAACAAAGTGACGGTATCCAAGAAGGAACATAGAATGTTGTTGGCTTATCTTGACCAAGAAGAGAAAGAGAAGGAGAGTACATGTTTGCTCAATACAGAGGAAGAGTTTGATTTTGAAGAGTTTGAGGGTCAAGAAAAGATTACTCCTGAACCTGAACATCACCATATCGGTATCTTAAGGAGAGTTTTGCATGCTAATTTTGTTCCTCCTACTACACATGAGCAAAGGGAAAATTTGTTCCATACTATATGCAAAGTGGGTGATAGGAGTTGCTCGTTGATTATAGATACGGGATCGTGCACCAATGTTGCATCTACTAAGTTGGTTGACACTATGAATCTTTCTACTAGGGACCATCCTACTCCTTACAAGCTTAATTGGTTACATGATGGAGATGGACTACAGGTTAAAAGGCAAGCTTTGGTGAACTTTTCCATGGGTTCATATTCTGATAGTGTATGGTGTGATATTTTACCTATGACTGCTTGTTCTATACTCTTGGGTCGTCCTTGGCAATATGATCGAGGGGTGTTATTTAATGGTGTTACAAATGTTTATTCAGTGAAGGTTGGGGATAAGAGAGTCCAATTACATCCTTTACCCCCTAAGGCGCCACCTATTCAAGCTCCTGCTAGAGAGTTGTTGATTATGCCTAAACTTAACAAAAAGGAAAGAAGGGCTAATATGTTGTCATTGAGAAACCAACACCCTTTTGAGATTGGTGAGTATGTTTTCTTATCTTTAAATGCTCAAAAAATCTTTAATAATTCTAGAGGTAAGAATGAACCATTAGAGGAAGGACCTTTCAAGATTGTGCATAGGGAGAATTATGATACTTTTCAAGTACTTCTTGGAGCGGGAATTTGCGCTACTATGAGGGCTAGTGACTTGGTACCTTGTCTTCCGAACGAAACTTGAGGGCAAGTTTTTTTTTAAGAGGGAGGGAATGATGTGAATCGAGTCCCCTTCCTTATAACTATTTTTATTGCTTTATTTAGGTACTCTCTTGGTTTTGCCTTACTCTTAAAGTAGGGGTTTTACAAGTGAGTTTTTAATAATGTTTTTATTATTTTCTTAGTAGTAGTTATGGGGCCTTGGGCTTCCAAAGTTGTGTTAATTAATTAGTGGGCTCTCTTGGTTCATTAATTAATTATTAGGGCTTTTTATTTAGTTTGCTTGCAGGGCAAGTAGGATAGATTTATTTTTCCTATATATACTAGTTGTATGTCAATTATTTTAACAAGATGTTTTATGAATTATAATTTGAGATTATTGAGCTTTTGCTTGAAGAGAACTTTGTTAAGGTTCAAACTAGTTGTTAACTAGGGTTTTGGGATCGTTACTCCTAAAATCAAACTTAGAAGTCGTTGCCTTCTAAGACTATCTTTCAAATTTCCACCCTTAAAATCACTCAAATCCTTCCATCAAATATAAACCGTCAAAATACACATCATGTGGCTCTTTCTAAGGTTTAATTATAAGCTGAATGAGAGGCAGAATAAATGGGAAAGGTATTGGTGATGGGTAGGATTCTATTTGCAACCTGTGATGGTTGCTTCTTTATCCCAATGAAGGATGTACCTGAATGGAGAGGCAGTTGTATTGTTGTATTCCGTAGGCGCTGCTTCCCTGACCATGGCCAACTCTATAAATCTGATTTCGAAATCTTTAAAGTTCAGAAGCCAGATGAAATGGGTGTGACTATTTTCCATTTTGAGAGTGCTATATGTGCGCCTATAAAATTACATCCAGGCCCCTTGGTTGTATATTGGCCATCACAGCCCTGTTTGTTAGATACAAGTCTATCCAATTGGTAAAGATCCTGCCTTATTAACTACAAATTAATTGACATCGAAACTTGTCTAGTTTACTTTGGCTCAATACTTGTTATGACTATATGAGATTATGATATACTTTTTGCTCATATGAGAAAGTGGAGTGCTAGTGAAAGATTTGAACTTAGAATATATTGTTTGCACGCTCAAATTGATGCAGAATGATAAGTCATTTGATTTTACGTTAAACGCAGAGAAAAGGTCTGTTATCTTCATAATAAATTATCAGTACTCCGTAGTATTCTGTAAAAATAATTGTTAAATTCAAATGAGTTTTGCAAAAAAGTCGACAGAGAAAGTAGTAAAAAACAAAATTCACATGGAAAAGCTAATTTTGCAAAATAGAGGATAATTTAGGAAGATTACCTAATAAAGACAAAGAAAATTGAGGATAAAAGAGTAATTAAATACTACCCATAAATGGTGCTCCCTCCGTATTTTATAACTTCTTCCACTTTCCTTTCGTATTTTATTACTTGCTCCATTTTCTTTTTTGGACACCTATCACAATATTTTACTAATGTATTCTCACCTAGTAGATCCCTAACTATCATACTTAAATATTTTTATGTTCTCTTTCTTTCCAACTATCTTACTTTATTCTTCCATCAACCTCACTTCTTTCTTATACTATTAGGTCATGTTCACTTCAGCCAAAAAAAAAAAAATATCCAGTAAAAATAATTTCAGTTCAGTAAAAATAATTTCAGTTCAACAAAATAAGTTCAGTTCAGTAAAATCAATTTCAGTTTAGTAAAAATAATTTCAGTTCAGCAAAAATCAGTAACTCTAAAGAAGAAATATAATAGAGAATCAGTAAAAATAATTTCAGTTTAACAAAATTAATTTCAGTTCAGTAAAAATAATTTATGTTCTGCAAAATTAATTTCAGTTCAATAAAATTAATTTCAGTTTAGCAAAAATAAGATGAAGTGAACGGGACCTTATTTTCTACTTCGTACTATTTTTCTAAAACTCCGCGCATGGAGAAAGTAATAAAATACTGAGGGAGTAACATAAAAAATAGATACTTCCTCCTTTTTTGTATAAGCTAGAGTTGAAATTTTCTACTATTCATATGTCATCATTGACTTAATTTTTTTTACCAATATATAGTGTATAAATATGATCATAAATATGTTAATTGGATTTGTCATAACGTGCAAATCCAACTCTAGCTTCAAAAAAAAAAAAAAAAAAAAAAAAGGAGTACATCATTTAGAAACTACGAAATGACACAAGGATAGATATAAACGGAGGGAGCAATTAACCAGTAAGAAATTTTGCCTAGAAATTTGTGCAAAATCCGTTAGTACATGTAACGTGACATAGAGGTAGTAAATAAATAAATAAACAATTTTGGCGGCTGTTTTAGAAAAAAAAAAAAAACAATTCTAGTGGTAAAATTAAGTCAACGAAAAAAAAAGGAGGTGTTAAATACCGCCATAAAAAATTATCAAAACCGTCGATATTTAGTCCATGTGAATGGTCTGGACAACCATGCCCTCGGTACTTCAGATCACCACTATCTCCCCTCTTGCCACCAATCACGCACTAACACCTTGACACCACCACCCTGATCGGCGACGACCACCACCACCACCCTCATCGACGACCACATCCCCCACAATAACGACCCACCACCTTCCCTTGCTTGTGGGAAGGTGGTGGTTTATTTTTTTTATTTTCGACAACTGCGGTAACCGGAGCCCAAAACCGGTTACCACCGTGATAACCGATTTTGGGCTCCGGTTACCTGGCACGGTAATTGGTTTTGGGCTCCGGTTGCCAGACATGATAACCGGTTTTGGCTCTGGTAACCGTGGTAACTGTTTCATGCACGGTAACCGGAGCACAAACCCGGTTACTAGGCACGGTAACCGGTTTTGGGCTCCGATTACCACGGTTGCCTGAAATAAAAAAACCACCACCTTCCCGCCGGCGTGGGAAGGTGGTAGGTGTTCATTGAGGGGGATGTGGTGGGCCGTCGATCAGGCTGGTGGTGGTTGTCGTCGGTCGGAAGGGGTGGTGGGTCGTAGGGAGGATAAGGGGTGGTGAAGTAGTAAGGGCTTAGTTGTTCATTCACACCAAATATTAGTGATGGTGATAATTTTTAATAGTGATGTTTAGCAATTCACAAAATAAAAATATGCATTTTTCGCGGTAAAACTAAGTCAATAAACTTAAAACCAAAAGGAAAAAAAAAAAAAAAGTCAACAAAGTCGGCTGAACCATTTGGTCTAAAACGAGGTCAAAAGCTAAGTCAACACAAAAAAAAATAAAAATAAAAACTAAAACGGAGTCAAAACCTAAGTCAACAAAGGCAGCTGAACGCCTGAACCATTTGGACCAAAACAGCGTCGTTAAAAAAAGCACCCTCATTTATTTTCAATCAAATCCCCAATTTAATTTTCTACGGTTTTTATGCACAAAAATGGAACCCCAGAAATCCAATTGGTCGGAGCTTTGCCCTGAACTCCTCTTAGAAATCGCCGATCGTCTCAAAACAAGAACCAACGTCTACAATTTCCGAGCAGTTTGCAAGAATTGGCATGATTCTCTCTCTAAAATCCCGCGAAATCTCCCTTTTCTCTCTCCTCTTTTCCCTCACAGATTCTGGGCCTTTGATTCCGACTTCTTCTCTACTCTTTCTAGTGGGAACCTCCACCATCTGATCGCCTACGCTGTGTATTTGATCCGACCTCGGAACATTCCAGAATCTTCTAAACCTTGGCTTCTTACTGTCGAAGAATTTCGCCGAGGTAAACTCTGTATTCAACTCCCTTTATCTAGAATTAGAGCTTGTGGTAATTTTCCAGCAAATGTTCAAATTCCCAGTTCCTTGAATTTGTCTGATTTTCATATCTCTGTTATTGGTAATGGGTACCATTTAAGATCTTCGGGTAAGGAGCGTTTGAATGGTCGTGGGTTGAGTTATGATTATAAATTGGTTTTGTTTGGAAATCCTGCTTGTTTTGAGCCTTTGTCGATCATGGATTACACTGCTTTGGTTAGGTTTGAACATGGTCTTGTTGGGTGGGTGAGGTTGTCGAGGAGATCGGATTGGGGGTTACTAGGTTTTAACGGAACCTGGGAATTTGATGACATTGTGAATTTGAAGGGGCTGGTTTATGCTATTGATCGAATGGGGAGAGTTTATGTTGTCCATTATGATATAGAAATGCCTTATCAACAGACATTGAAGATGGAATGTATCGCGAATGATTGGATTTCTAGTGGGTGTCATAGCGATAGGAGGAAGCGATTGGTGGTGGATTCTTCTGGGGTGTTGTACGTAATTGAGAGGGTTAGTTATTGTGGTGGTAAGATACATTTTAAAGTCTATAGGCTGGATGAAGTGAATTGTAAATTGGATCAAGTTGTTGGCTTTGGAGATAGTAGAATACTGTTTGTGGGTGTTGATTGTTGCTTCTTTGCTTCAGTAGCTGATTTTCCGGGTTTTAGAGGAAATTGCATATTGTTCTTAGATGATTCCTTCCCCTTGTATGGCGAGAGAACAACATTTATCGAGCCTATTATCAATGGAGCTAGGGAGGTGTTGACAGTTACCGTATTCCACTTTGAGGATGGCGATGCTAAGCCAATATCAGCCTTTCCTGGATATTCTGACATATTATGGCCACCTTCAGCATGGTTCTATCCAGATTTATCTCGGCCTTGAAGTTCAAACTTGATCTGAGTGAGTACTGAGTAAACACTCAATTCTTCAACTCCAAGATATGATATGTGTCGAATGCATATGTATGTGCTACTTGCTGAATAAACTTTTAGCATGATATATATTTTACATGTGTGACAGTCAAATGTGACTGTGGTGATTTGTTTTCTCTGAGTGAGTGACATTCGAAGTTTTTGTGAATGCGTAACCTTGCCACTTATATTATCGTGATTTTTAAAGGTGCTATTTAACTTTTTGTAAAATTTTAAATTTTCAATGACAAAAATTGTCTGCGTTGGTTTGGGCATGTAAGACGGAGTCTTGAGGGTGCACCGGTGCGAATAGTGGAAGAGTGAGACCAAGGAGGGGTTAAACGAGGGAGAGGGAGACTGAAAATGACTTGGTTGGAAGGAGTTAGGAATGATATGAAGTGTATGGATGTGCATGAGGATAAAACATTGGATCGTAAGAGATGGAGGAGGAAAATTTATGTCGATAACTACACGAAATAATCAAATTTGGTTCATGTTAGCCGACCCCACTTATGGGATTAAGTGACACATCATACGACACCAACAAAATTTTGTATCAATACAAAACCGCATCAAGCGAATTTTGTGTTAATTTTTAGTCATCAATGGGGTAATTTTTAGCTTAATTTTCAAAATCCTATGTTTGAATTAGTTTTTAATTATTACTTACATTGTATTAATTTGGGATACTCAACGATTATATGTTTATGTTTTATTTACTAAATGTTTTTTTTACATGCAGATCTAATACATCATACGACACAAATAAAATTTCGTATCAATACAAAATCCCATCAAGCGAATTTTGTGTTAGTTTTAGGTCATCAATGTCCGGGTAATTTTTAAAATCTTATGTTTAAATTTACATTTGTAATTATTAGTCACATTGTACTTATTTAGGATACTTAACAATTATTTGTTTATGTAATGGCATATGATTAGATGTTGTATACTTAATATATGGATGACTTTGGTTATTTTTGAAGATGATGAAAAAATTCCAATGCATAGATTTTATTTTATATCGCAAAATTTTTTCATTTATTGGTAAATATATTGATTTATTTTATATAAATGTAAAAATTTAATTTATATCAATTTCAGTTTGGCTAACATTTCACGGTTCAATTTATCCATTGATGTAGTAGGTTGGTTGTGGAAGAGGTTGGTGATTCTATCGAAATAAAAGATATGGTAAAACAATGAATAATGATTTAGGATTTAAATTATTAAAAATTTATTATTTCTATATAACGGAAAAAATATCATATTTACAATTTATTTATATTTAATAAATTCATTGTAGATTATAGTAAAAAAAAAATTAAACTTTTGTAATTTTGTCTGAAATTATTAAATACAATAATTAAAATAATTAAAATCCGTACATCGCACGGGCTTCCATCTAGTTAGAAATTATTTTTGTCCGCCTTATAAAATACTTGTATGTACTTGGTATTTAAATTTGATATTTTGACCAAAAATAGAAAAATCTAACACAATTTTACAAGATTATTTTTTTTTTAATAATTTTAATTGTAAAAAGTTATAGACAAAGATTTCAAACATTATTGACCACTAAAGTTAATAAGATAAAATCCCTCATTTGATACCCTACAATTATAAAAATCCCATTTAAAAAAAAAAAAAAAAAAAAATCAGATAAAATTAAGTTCAGCCGTGGAACAAGTCCAAGGCTAAACTCACGCTTCTAGCCATAAAATTTATGCAAGTTTCAAAACACGTTGGACTATCATATGCAATAGTTTTCCTGCAAACTCAAAAAATTTCAGGCAAGTTTAACACTTCAAGCACATTGTGAGTGGCCGTCTCAAACTTTTTGTAGCCCCTGTTCTAAATTTAAAAATAGGCCCTAATATTATAAAAAAAAAAATAATAATAAAAAAAAAAGGTTCACCTTTGAGACTGAAATTCATGTTTTTTTCCTTTTTATTACACTTCTTAGATGGGTAAATGAGAAATACTTTCAGATTTTAGGGGAAAAAAATTTATAAATCAGTAATTTAATCTTCAAAGTTTAAAACTCCCACTAGTTCATATTCACTACTGCATCAACCCAAATCCGACTTGAGATTAGTATCATTCTTTATTCTTCTCCAAATTTTTACCTTTGTAATATGTGATAAGATAATATCATGATTCTCTAAAAAAAGACTAACAGACGACATGTCTGGTGGATGTTCGTGTTCTTCAAATCTATTCCCACTTCCCACCAACCCAATCACTGAAAGACCAAAAACAATAGTTAGGGGTGAAAATGAAAAATTAAAATTAAAGATAATGGAATTAATTTTTCCATTGACTGTAATTTACGGATTGAGAAATTCATAATTGTTGCAATTTATATGATTGAGAAGGAAAGGTTGGTGTTTTGAAAGTAGAATGGAAACTTTAATTAAAAATTTAAAAAAGGAAAAAGTATAGCTGTATTTGTATAGGATGAAGGAATACAAAAGGTTTCAAAATTGGGTGAATTGGATAGAGTGAGAGAGTAATTAATGAGGAAGAATTCTTATTAATTAGAAAAAGCATTGATTTCTACTTCGTATAGTACAGTAACAGACTTTAAGATATATTGAAAATATGAACATTGGGCTCTAAACATGGGCTTTTAAATTTTGGGGGCCCTCAAAAATTTGAGGTTTTGTGTTGAGAACCAGGATGTACAGGCTTTAGCCAGCCCTGAGTAAAATCATATAGAATGTAATCAATATCAATATTTCAATCAATATATATTATTAAAATTCATGGCAAGCCATGTAATTCTTGCCACGTGTGATCAATCAAATCAATATATATTATTAAAACTCGTGGCAAGACATGTAATTCTGTCATGTGTGACCAATCAATATCTATACTAATATATTAAAAGACGTTTTTAAAAACGTCTCTACGCCACGTAAACCCCCACTACAAGAAATAGGCCAATTTCCGACGGAAACGTTCCGACGGACATAAAATCCATCGGAAATTTCAACATTTTCGACGGAATTTTTTTCCCTCGGAAGATGTGAATTCCGAGGGAAAAAAATCCGTCGGAAAAAATAAAAGAAAAAAATAAAAACAAAATTGGAATATTAGGGGTTTTCGACGGATTACGTTCCGTCGGAATATTCCGTCGGAATTTATTATTATAAAAAAAAATAACCCTATTTTTCTCTCTCTCCTCTCACCGCCTCTTTTCTCTTTCTCTCTCCTCCCCTCTTTCCTCTTCTCTGCTTCTTCCTCATTCTCCCCTCCTTCTTCGTTCCTTCCTCCTCTCCTCCTTCTCTTCCTTCTCCTTCCTCGCCCCTTTCTCCTTCCTCCTTCCTTAGCTTCCTTAGCTTCCTTTCTCCTTCATTCTCCCTCCTCTTTTCGTCAACAACAACAACAACCACCGAGCAACGCCAACACCGAGCAACGCCATCACCAACACAACAACTACCAACCACCGAGCAACGCCGGGCCATATCCCCTCATTTTCGAGCAACATCGAAAGATCCATTTTTTTTTTCGTTTTTTTAATTAATTTGTATAGAATACAATTTTTTTGTTCTGATTTGTATTCTAATTTGTATTTTGTTTCAATTTGTATAGATCTGTTTTTATTTCAATATTTTTCGTTCTTTTTGGTTGGTTATGTTCCGAATTCGCCCAATTTCTGTTTTTTTTTTTCAATATTGGTCGAATGGTGGTGGTGGGTGGTGTGGGAAAAGGGGTTGGACGACGTGGTGGTGGGTTAGGGGGTGGCGGTGGGGTGGTGAGCAGGGGTGTGGGGGTTGTGGTTTGGGTGGTGGGCTGTTACGGTTGGGGGTGGGGGTGGGTTTAATTTTTTTCGTTTTTTTTCGGTGGTGGGGGGTGGATGAGGGGTGGTTGTGGGTGGTGGGTTTGGGTGGTATGTTGGGTGGGTTAGGGGTGGGTCTGGTCAGGGGGTGATTGGGTGGGTGGGGGGTGGGTCTGGTCAGGGGGTGGTTGGATGGGTCTGGTCAGGGGGTGGTTGGGTGGTAGTGGTTTCGGTTGTTTGGGTTCATGGGATAGTGGGTTTCATGGGGATTGCGTAGGTGGGTGGTGGGTACGGTTTTAGGTGGGGTGGTGGTGGGTGGGTACGGTTTTAGGTGGGGTGGTAGTGGGTGGTGGGTACGGTTTTAGGCGGGGTGGTGGTGGGTGGGTACGGTTTTAGGTGGGGATGGTGGTGGGTACGGTTTTAGGTGGGGTGGTGTGGGTTGGTGGTGGGGGTGGTGGGTGGGCTGTTTTTTTTTTTTTTTTTTTTTTTTATTATTAACATTTTCGACGGAAAATTCCGTCGGAAATGTTTATTCAGACGAAATTTTCCGTCGGAAATGTTAATGTTCCGACAGATTTTTCCGAGGAAAAATCCGTCGGAAATTTCCGACGGACTTAATTTGAAAGTCAAATTCAGCTACAACAGAATTCATTCCGTCGGAAAAGACCTTTTTTCCGACGAAAGGTTTTCCGACAGACATTTTTCGGCGGATTTCCGACGGAAATGACCATTTCCGACGGAAAGTCACTATATTCCGTCGGAAATAAGCTTAATTCTTGTTGTGCCCCTCACTATGCCACGTCACTCACTCAACTCCTTATTATGTCACGTCACCCGCACTACTAACAATACTCCATGTTTCCTCAACTATATTGAAAAAAAATATATGGATGTGAAGGTTCGAACACTTGACCTATTTTGAAGTAACATTATTGTTTAACTATCTAAGCTAATAGTCAATTATGCTTTAATGTTGCACACTAAATAATATTATACTATAAAAGTATTGAAAATACATACTACATACAAAAATTAGCAGTTGCACAAATACAAAAGTAGTATCCTGAGGCAACGCCCAGGCTACTCACTAGTATATTATTAAAACTCATGGCAAGACATGCAATTCTGCCATATCATACCTGTTCATTAATGATCACTATTATTTTCTCAAATAAAAAAGTATCAGCATTGATATTTGAACCTATTAATTATGTTCATAAATTTCAAAATTAATTATATATATAGATTGTATACACGTATATTTAAGAACTATCTATAATAGCAAAAGTGGTCTCATCTCTTTCATTTGCTCATGCATACAATTCTATAGTTGTTTGAAATATGTAACCCAAAAATATGTTTATCTTTGGAAAAAAAATAGTACAACTACTATTATAAAAATAATTAATCTAAAAATTAAAATTATAACTAATCTATATTAATATTTTACCTAATTATCATTAAAATTTAGTTCAAATATATTCACAATGATTCGGGGCATCGCTCGGGTTAAAAACTAGTTATGCATTAAATGTTAATAAAATGGAGTATTTGGTTTAGTGGTAAGGAGAGATGTGTTTAATGAAGGAAGATCAAGGGTTCGACTCCAAATACAGAAAGAAACCCAAAACATGGCATCGATTGCTTCTTCCATGGCTTCCATCTTTAGAAAGAAAATAACAACTATAGAGTGAGAGACATGAGCTCTCACAAATTTGTACTTATGATAAAATTTATGAAATTATTAGATTGATATATAATTTTTGGGTCTATCAAACTTCCGCGTGCGTCCAAATTCTATCATGGTAACAGAGCCGGCCCAAGCTAGGAAGATCTCAAGATTGACATTGAAGAGGATATGGAGGAAGGAAAAAGGAAAATGTATGTTTTTGTGAAGATTAATTAATGTTTTTAGAGAACAAATATCAAAAGAGAAATTTTAAGTTTAAGAAACATTTATAGAAGAATCAAGATGAAATTTTATTTTGAAGAAAATTA